CATTTAACTTATTATACATGGTGCAGTAACGCAGTGGGTAGGGCATTTGCCTTGCATACGGTTGACCTGGGTGACCCGGGTTCGATTCCTCCGCCCCTCTTGGAGAGCCCGGCAAGCTATTGAGAGTATCTTGCCTGCACGGCAAAGCCTGGCAAGCTACCCATGACGTATCTGATATGCCAAACACAGTAACAACAAGTCTCATAATGGAGACATTACTGGGCCCGCTCAAGCAACTTGATGAACAACAGGAGGACTGTGTCAGTGACAGTGACATGGTGCAAGAGCCTAGCTTTATTCATTTTTACGGAGCCCCTCTGCTGTGTCATAACCCTTTGTGAAAGGCTTTTGATTCCTTCCTATGTGATCTTGGCACTTGTGGCAAAAGTGAGTTCGTCTACAGGTAAATGACTTACTCCTGGACTTCCAACCCATCTCATTCAGTATATACCCTCCGGTATGCTGGAGCCACATTTTAATAACTGTTGCTCAAAAGTTCTTAAATAGGGAAGTGTGTATCTTTCTACTTTGTGCTTTCAAAGGTTGTATCCGATTATTTTTGCATTCCTTAAGCTGCTGGGCAATTTCAGATCTTGTCAATTTTGGCAAAGAAGTGAGCTGGACTTAGATACAAAGCTCTCTTCGAAGCCCTCGATCAATTTTGGGGGTCATCCAATTCATGTTAAGTCCTCCAAGCCATGAACATAGTGTGCTTTTCACATTGTTTAGAGTTTATTCAACTTCTTTGGCCAACATTTTGCCCAAAGTGAAAGTTTGGCATTGGCCAATTTCTTGGTCAATTTCTCCCCTAACATAGCCAATTCTCTTTGTGAGATCAATGGACTTGTTTTCTTCCTGGAAAGAGATACTCAGGGAGAGACACTCAACCCAATACTATGGTCCTGAGGGTCTGACACTTGAATCTAGCTCCAAAGTCAGTGACACGGAAACCACCAGTGGGTACCGGTGACAGAGCAACCAATGTCAGTGGTTGGGGGTAGGACCCATCCAGCCGTGGGTCACAGTCAGGGCTACTCACGTGCCCGGCCTGTGCCACATCTGTAAAACTCCCTCCAGGGCCCCAGATTTGTTTTCTCAATGTCAAACTCTGTTACGAGTGTCCAGAAAGGCAGTGACCTGTAGAAACCCATGTGCTTTCTCTGTTGGCATCTGTGATCTTGTGTCTTGGCCGTCTGGCTGAACTTGCCTTGTGAAAGGGGTCCAAGTTCACCGGATGCCTTTTCTGCATCTACTAAGAGTGTCTCAGCATTTTAAAATATTCTTTTGATGTATATGACAATCACCAATTTTTCAAGGTCAGATCAACGTGGCCTTTGTGAGCACACCATACTTGTTTATAGATGATGTAAAAAAAACTTTGTATGTTGGTGAATTTGAGTTTGCTAGGATTGGGGGGGTGTCTTGCCTGTATGTTTGTCCAAGACAGTGATTTGTAATTTTCCTTCCTTCTGATGTTCTGGGTTTGGCTGCGGGGCACAGCTGGCCTCATGGAAGCAGCCAAGAAGGACCTTCTCTCCCTGGCTTGTTTGGGAAGTGTGGCTATTAATTCTTTTTAAACCTTTGATCCCTGCATCTTTCTCCCATGAGTTCAGAATTGCTGTGGCTTTGCCAGTGGATTTTCCGTGTCATGCCCGGTGCTTCCAACCTCCGATTTTTCTCCCGGCTTCTTCCTTCCCCTCCCATGCGGTCCGTCTCTCTCGGGTCTCTTTGGAGTGAGGCATAGTTGTCATAGTTCCTCTCATTCTTTAAACAGAGCCATAAAGTTCTTTGAACATATTTACATGAGCTGATTTCGAGTCTCCACCTCCTAAACCCACGTCTGGGACTGGGGACGGTTCCTGTGGCATGTCACTCCGCAGATGAACTACACTCTGTCGCTCCGTGGCACGCTTTGCCACGTTTTGCTGGAGTTGGGACATTCCTGGTGCCGATCAAAGCAATTCAGTAGCGGTTTCCCCTCGCTGCCACCACCCCACACCCCAGATCCGTGCTGTGGTTCCTGCCTTTGGGTGGAACTGGGCTGCCTGGGGGTTCCCGGCTGCCAGGATGAGCCTGAGTTCCCGCCCGTGTGCGGCTGCGCATGTCTGGTTTGTGTCGGGAGACGGGTCCGTCAGTGCGGCCACCTGTCCCTACCGTGTCCTGCTCACACCAAGAGCCAGCCTGTCTCCCAAGAAGCCTCCAGCATCCTGTTTCTGGAGTTTGCCCAGGCTCTGGGTGCAGGAGGGCCCCTGGGTCTCTTCTTCTGCAGCCCCCTGGTTCAGCTTTCCTGGGCCTTCCTTAAGTGCAGGGAGTCCCACTTATGCCTACTGCCCAGTGGAACCTCCGGAATATGTTGGGACACATCCAGTTCTTCCAGTTCATCTTCCTCTATCAACAGACTCTCGTCCACATTAAGGGGAGCCACGCTGCACGCCATGACCCCCGACCCCCGGCCACTCTGGTTTCAGCCACGCCCTGGGCCTCCGTGGGCTTCATTCCTTGAGGGGAACCCACGTCCCTGGCAAAGGGCCTGCACACTGGGAATGGAGATGTTTCTAGAAGGTTCTGCTTTTAGGTCCCCTGGTGGATGGTCACTGAGCAGGGCTTTGGGAACGGCGTAGCCTCTGGCCACGGTCCCTGCCCCTGTGCTGGGCTGGAGGAGGCTGGGGCCTGCCCGAATGTCACATAGCACGACTTGCCGCTCCGTGGCTCTGTGGCTGACTCGCAGAGCCGCTTCCTGTGGGTCTCTGAGGCCCACGTGGGCAACGTGTACGTAGCTGCCAGCTGTGCCCGGCCGCTGGGCCCTCCTTCCTGTCCCGGTGGGCACAGTGACCTGGCTGGCATGGACCTGGTTGCACCACATACCGGCTGTGCTCTGGGAATGCCGGCAGCTGTGCGGGGACCAGGGATGGCAGGGTGGGCCAGTGCTGAGGGTCTGGCTCACGCACTCAGGGGGCAATGGTAGCACAAGCCCTCCCCCACGCCCAGCATTTGCAGACAGTTCATGTGACCCCTGGAGAAATGGCGGGGAGGTGCATTGCCACACGGTGGGCCGAGGGCAGAGTGAAGACAGGAAATGCGGTTGGCTTTGCCGTCGTGGAATAAAACCGGGCATGGAGGAGCGGAAGAGCAAAAGTGTCCGAGTCCCTTCCAGAGTGGCAAAACCTCTCCCTTTGGGGTAGTGCAAGCCCCGGGGACCCCAGCCCTTTGCTCCAGGGAGAGGCCTGGTGCACCCAGGAGCGGGGCCTTTTTTGAACCAGCATTGGTACCCAGAATCTTTCCTCCCCGCAGAGGGTGCTCTTGAGGCCAGACTAAGCCTCCCCCAAGCCTGGAGATGCTCCCAGGACAGTGTGCCGGCCGTGGGGCACCCGGGATCGGCCCTCCTGCTCCACACAGTCCACCAGCACTGCCAGGATGAGCCCCTTGAGCACTGTCCAGGGTGACCCAAAATACAAATTTTTAGAAGTGAGTTTTCTTGTTCCCTCTGGGTATCTGAACTGCCGAATTGTCGTGCAACTGTTTCCTCTGGGCACAGACTCAGCCGGTCTAGCCATGCCACGTTGAGATTCTCCCTGGGGAGCAGGAAGCTCTGCTCAACTGTTCCTCTTGGGGCCTCCACCAGGAAGCCCTCAGCTTAAACTCTGCAAGAACACTTTCTTCCTTTCTTCCATGCCACTTGGTGTTTTATTCCAGTTAGCAAATGTGGTTGTAAGAGTTTGCGTTTTGCACCCCTGCATCCCAGCATCCCCCCTCGTCACCTTGGAAGGATGGTGGTCCACTTGGAGTTAAATTTGTATCTGGTTCAAGGCACATGTGGGGCTTTGTTTGTTCAGGAATCTGCTCATGCCAAAGACAGTTCTGAATTAGGCTGGAGCGATAGCACAGTGCGTAGGGTGTTGGCCTTGTACGCGGCCAACCGGAGTTCGATTCCCAGCGTCCCATATGGTACCCTGAACACCGCCAGGAGAGATTCCTGAGTGCAAAGCCAGGAGTAACTCCTGAACATTGCCAGGTGTGAATCCCCACCCCCCCCCCCAAAAAAGACAGTTCTGAATGGGTCACACCTCTCTTTAAACCGGCCATTTACTGTGGTTTATTCTGGAACTCTCTTCTTGTCCACAGAATAGAGCCACTTCCCTTCCCTAATGCCGCTTGTTCTGATTTCAGTAGCATTGTGAGAAATCTGGACACCTTGAACTTGTCCTGGATGCCGGACTGGGACCGTGGGTCTCTGTTTCTGCCCGTGGTTCCAGGCTCCTCAACGTTCTCAAGGATGGAAACATTGAGTAATAAAAATGCTCAGACTCAGCGTTGGAAACTAGAAAAGTTTACTGGAAAGTAGAAAAGAAAAAAAAAAAGCAACCTCCATGCTTGGGAAGAACTTTGCTAACTTGGTTAGCTAAGGTCACCGTGGCTGTTTGTGGGGTTTTCTAGGAAAACTGGGTCATTGTGTTGCAGAATGCAGGGAAGTTATAGGTCAGGGTTTTCCTGCAGGCCCTTTAAATGAAAATCGGGCCCTTTTCCTTTCTTACCAATTGATAAAAATGTGCAGAGGATGCAAGGATCAAAAGGAGTCTGCCATCTGCCATCTGCCTTAGATATTTCCCGCTAGCTTGGCCCCCTGGAGAGCCTAATCTCAGGGGCAAAATTTTATGTTGGACCGTTGGTAACTTCCTGTTTGTCAGAAAGAGGCCAGGGATTTGCGGGACGTGGACAGTGCAGGTTGGAGGAGGTCAAGAATGAGAGTGCTGGGGCTGGAGCAATAGCACAGCGGTTAGGGCATTTGCCTTGCACGCAGTCGACCCGGGTTCGATTCCCAGCATCCCATATGGTCCCCTGAGCACCGCCAGGAGTAATTCCTGAGTGCAGAACCAGGAGTAATCCCTGAGCATTGCCGGGTGTGACCCAAAATGCAAAAAAAAAAAAAAAAATGAGAGTGCTCATATCAGCCAGCAAGGGGGAAGCCGGGCTTCTGCTTTCAGTCCACTTGGGAAATGGCCAATCTCTCCACTTTCTTGTCTTGCTGTGTGTATGTTTCGAAAAACTTGAGTCCTATGTGATAGCTGGGTTTAAGAAGCGCAAGGTTCAAACAAAAGTCTTTGAAGTCCAGCATGCGAAGACACACTCTGAGTCATAACTCCCCATCACAACTGGAAGAGAAAGAAAAAGAAAAATGGGATTCTATATAAAAATATACTTTGGGGGATCTGGTCACCCCTTTGGGGAGATTGGATGTCTTTTCTCAAGTTTTTTTTTCTTTCGGCAATTTTTTAAAAGTTTTTGCAGGCTGCTTTGACACACATTTTGTTTGGTAAAAAGATTGTTGGTGCTGGGTCAGAGTGATAGTACAGAGCGTAGGGCATGGGCCTGGTACAGGGTTGGCCTCGGTCCCGTCCCTGACTCCCTGTCTGGTTTCTCAAGCACTGTCAGGAGCAATTCTGAGCACCGAGTCAGGAGTAAGCTGTGAACATTGCTGGCTGTGGCCAAAACCCCCTCCCCCAAATTGCTGGTGCTGTAGTTAGTTATGTTGTTTTCAAATCTCAGTGGGAAAGGTCAGACGTACAAAGCAAGGCACTCGCTCCCGTCCAAGCCAAGTTGAAGCCCAGAACCGCATGTGGTCTTGTGAGTCCCAATAGGAGTGACCCCCGTGCAGAGCCAGGGGTCACCGGGGTGGCTCAGAGCCAAACCAAAAACTAAACGATAAAATCTCTTAACAGCCATAAACTAGAACCTGGGGCCTAGGAGTGCAGCTAGACCGACAGAGAGATGATAGATACAGAGGTGACGGGTACACGGAGAGATATATTGATCGACCCTAGCCTGGCGCTGGGGTGCGGGGGAGAATTCTGTGGGACTTTGGCATTTTCTCCAGAAGCCAATGTGTTATTTATAAATGCACGCTGTCATATTTCCGCGGAATCTCTATACCTTCTAAATCCTCACCCAGCCCAGCTTGGCTGGGACCTTCCGTACCTGCTGAATAGAAATGGGGCGGCAGCTGTCCCGTCTGCCGGTCTCGGCGGGAACACAGGCCCTGTTTTCGCGACGGCGTGTTATGTTTGCTGTGGGCAGCTAATCTGCCCCGGTGCCCTTGAGCTCATGTTGCAGGTCACATACGTATATTTTCCAGTCCCGGCTGGTCTGGCTTATTCATCTTCCCGTCATTTTCCGTTGCCTTTTGAGACTCGTACCTGTTTCCTCGTAGGGACCTGTTTTTCTCTGAATCCAGAACCAAGGTTCTAATCCCTACTCAGCCTTGTTTATTGCTTCATCCTCCTGCTCTGAGGGCGGGGGGTGCGGGGGGGTGCCTGGGGTTTGGCCTTCTGAGCCGCGGGTCTCGTGTTTGCCCGCTCGCTCTGGCCGGGAGAGCACCCCCCTCCTCTCTGCCCGCACTGGGCAGGGGGGGGCTGGTGTCCAGGCCGTGAGCCCTCCCAGAGCTGCCGGCGACCCCTCTGGTGCTGGGCGTGGACGACAGGGCCTGGGTGACCTCTGCCCCGGGCTGGCCCAGCGCCCTGGCTTCTCAGGACCCTCTTCCCAGGTCTCCGGCATGCCCCCAGCTGGAATCCTAGGCGTGGCAGGGGGTAGAGTGCCTACCTTGCACCCACGAGAACTGGGTTCCACCCCCGGCTCCGGAAAGCACACAAGAAAACCCCACAAACGCCCTGTTTGCACAGCTTCTGCCATGCAGAGCGCTTGTCCCCAGGGCCACAGCCCAGATCTCAGGCTGTCTGGGGACCCCGCAGCCCCCGGCACCATGAGCTCACCTCCACAAGCTTGCCTCCAGTGCTCACCTCCACCTGACCATTTCCATGTGCTCACCTCTGCGTGCTCACCTCCACTTGATTATTTCCATGTGCTCACCTCCATGTGCTCACCTCTTGTGAGCTCACCCCCACATGCTCACCTCCATGTACTCACCTCCACATGCTCACCTCCTTGTGCTCACCTCCGTGCTTACCTCCACATTCTCACCTCCATGTGCTCACCTCCCTGTGCTCACCTCCACATGCTCACCTCCACTTGATCATTTCCATGTGCTCACTTCCCTGTGCTCACCTCTGTGAGCTCCCCTCCACATGCTCACCTCCACGTGCTCACCTCCACATGCTCACCTCCACAAGCTCACCCCCATGAGCTTACCTCCGTGTGCTTACCTCCATGCTCACCTTCACATGCTCACCTCCATGTGCTCACCTCCACATGCTCACCTCCACCTGACCATTTCCATGTGCTCACCTCTGTGTGCTCACCTCCACTTGATTATTTCCATGTGCTCACCTCCCTGTGCTCACCTCTGTGAGCTCACCCCCACATGCTCACCTCCATGTACTCACCTCCACATGCTCACCTCCTTGTGCTCACCTCCGTGCTTACCTCCACATTCTCACCTCCATGTGCTCACCTCCGTGAGCTCACCTCCACATGCTCACCTCCACTTGATCATTTCCATGTGCTCACCTCCCTGTGCTCACCTCCACATGCTCACCTCCACTTGATCATTTCCATGTGCTCACTTCCCTGTGCTCACCTCTGTGAGCTCCCCTCCACATGCTCACCTCCACGTGCTCACCTCCACATGCTCACCTCCTTGTGCTCACCTCCGTGCTTACCTCCACATTCTCACCTCCATGTGCTCACCTCCGTGAGCTCACCTCCATGTGCTCACCTCCATGCTCACCTTCACATGCTCACCTCCATGTGCTCACCTCCACATGCTCACCTCCACTTGATCATTTCCATGTGCTCACTTCCCTGTGCTCACCTCTGTGAGCTCCCCTCCACATGCTCACCTCCACGTGCTCACCTCCACATGCTCACCTCCACAAGCTCACCCCCATGAGCTTACCTCCGTGTGCTTACCTCCATGCTCACCTTCACATGCTCACCTCCATGTGCTCACCTCCACATGCTCACCTCCACTTGATCATTTCCATGTGCCCACCTCCCTGTGCTCACCTCTGTGAGCTCACCTCCACGTGCTCACCTCCACATGCTCACCTCCACAAGCTCACCCCCATGAGCTTACCTCCGTGTGCTCACCTCCGCAGGCAGCTGTGACACTGATCATGAGTGTGGTAGCCAGCACCCGGCCCCCTCACCCAGCTGAGGGGTCCGAAGCAGACCTGAGACCAAGTGTTCCTTTTCACTACCTCTGCAGTGACCCCCCCAAGACCCCCGAATTCCCCTCACTGGCTCTGCTCCCTCTGAACAAAGTCCCTATTTGTCTCAGGGGCTCTGGGTCAAGCTCTGGGGGTCGCCGTGTCCCTGTGCCCCTCAGTTTGTGTCTGCACAACCCCGAGCCCCAAGGTGGCCCCTACCTCCTCGCCTCGCCCAGTCCTAGGGCCTCAGAGCTCTGGCCCCGCTCCCTGTGGTCTGTGCCCTTGGGCAGAGGTGGAAGGTCTCGGGGTTCACGGAAAGGAGCAGGGGTGACCCCTCCCGCCCTAATCGAAGGGAGACCAGTCACCCCGCCCATCTCTGTGCCCCTGAGGTGCTGTAGGGACGATCACGATCACGATCATCCTGTTGTTTGTCGATTGCCCTGAGCAGGCACCAGTAACATCTCCTTCGTCCTAGCCCTGAGATTTTAAAAAGTGCCACATTCGAGGCTTTTTCAGGGTTAGGAGAATGAGACCCATCATTGTCATTGGTATTTGGCATATCGGGTACGCCATGGGGAGTTTGCCAGACTCTGCTGTGTGGGCAGGTTACATTCGGTAGCCTGCCAGGTTGTCCAAAGCAAGAATGAGATAATAAGATGTGGCGCGGCCGCAAATGCAGGGACAGAAGGGACCATAGAGTGTGAGGGGCAGGGCCAGGAGTCAGGGGTCGTGTGTCCACCCCAGAGGCTGGGCTGCAGGCAGAGCTGGGTACCCCGACTCCTGGAAGGCCCCTGCACATGCCCTGGGCACTGCCCTGGCTCTGTGGGGACGACAGCTGGTGGGGGGCCCTCCCCGCTCTGGGCTGACCCTCGCTCTCCCTCCCCATTTCTGCAGGGAGCTGAGGGGAGTGAGGCCCACAGCAGGTGCTCCCTGCCAGCTCCCCACGTCTAGCCTGAGGCCACGGGTCCGAGATTGGGGTCGCTGCCCGGGAGATGTAGCAGGGGCACCAGCACGGACCCCTGGCCCAGGCCGCCCAGTGCACGGTCAGCCGTGGTGCCAGGCCAGAGCGGAGGCCTTTGTTTCCTGGCGGTCAGCTGGAAGGTGGGTGCTGGGCAGTGCGGGTGTTGAGACCTGGGGCCCAGATGGTCGCGGTGGGGCCTGGGCCTGGGCCGGGGGCCTTGGGGACCCCTAGCTGCAGCTTCCCAAGGAGAGGGGTGGGCCGGGATAGGGGAGCCCCGGGGGGGGGGGGTGAGACTGCACTGTGAAGTCTCACTCTGCGAAGGTGCCACCCCAGAGGAGCCGCTGTGACAGTCCCATTGGGGACAGACTGAGGAGTGGCCCAGGGATGGGACGCCACTGCCACCTGCAGGCTTTCTCTGGGTGGTGCAACCCTGCTCTCTCGGCCGGGCACCTGGGTTGCCCCTGGGAGCCCTTGGGCTCAGCCCCACTAGGGCAGCCTGCCACCAGGGCCCGAGCACCCAAGAAGCCTCATCGGGAGCACTGTTGGGGAGCATCCCCCAAGCTCCCCGCAGCCCACTTCAGAGAGACGCGTGCTTTGCATTCTGGAACCTTCCGTCTGGGATCGAGCCAGCCTTGGCTCCCAGCACTTTGCACAGGGCAACCCGGGCTTGTTAAGACGTGATGGACACCGTGCTCGTGATCAGAAACAGTTTTTTTCTTTTCCTCTGTAGTCCTCACAAGTCTCAAGTCGTCACCCCTAGGTTTGGCTTTCTTTGCGCTTACTCTTCTCGGGCCTGCTCAGAGCCTTCGCACGTGGGTCCGTGTGTTCAATTTAATTTGAATCTTTCGTTACTGTTACTGTGTTTTCCCTCTCCATTTCTCCTCTCCGAGGACCTCCCCTAGGGACCCTTGTCCTGGCTCCCTGCTCACTGAGGATCAGCCGAATGCTTTTCAAATCTTGGCTCCTTCCTCTGTCCCAGTTGGGTTCATTTCTTTGGACTGGCTTTCGCGTTCACTGTTGCTTTCTTCGGCACGCCCCAGTCAGCGGCTCAGGCCGGTTTCATGTTAGAGATGACAATTCTGGGGCTTTCCT